TTTCAAGGAGTTTAGCGACGTAATTCAAAATCTTGAAATAAAATAAAATCCATGCACAGTGTAAAACACAGGACAAAAGCACTGCTCTCTGTCAGTTACATTTTGAAGCATATTGCACTTTTGGCCACACCCCAATCAATAATATCTTAGCAACGTTCAGCATGGATAGGTGTTGGCAGCAATGGCATGGGAAAAGGATTGTGTCAAATGTGAAAAGTGGCTTCTGCTCTGCACTTAACCAGTTCAAATATTGTATGGAACCTTCAGAAAAGATGAGAAGGTACACTAAAACTTGCACAGTTATGATTGACAAAATCAGTCCACATGCATTTAGACACTATGCAAAGTACTCAAAACCACCACTGTGTGTCTTCAGTACCACATTGCCATGATGACATGCAGACTCAATAGGTGAAAACAATACCAGCGTCACTTTAGCAGCTGGTAATAATGGCTCTGAATTAGCTAAGAGTGACAGTTTAAAAAGTATGCAATTACCTAATTCATTATCTCTTATGCGCTAACCTATTATTTAATGTGCTTCAAAAGGACATGAATATCGCCTTCATCAGTGACCGGTCCACCCCAGGATCTGACCATACGATGGCAACCATCGTGGTCGAGGGAAACAAATGAATGAGCAAGCATTCTGCGTTAAATGTGTTCATACTGTTTGAAATAATGACTGTCGGCAGTGTAAACATCTTTGTTACATCTTTTGTAGAATTGATGTGTGTGATCTGCAGATTGGTGGACATTGAGAGTTTGTTTCTGTAGTTTTACAAAAACTTTACAGATTTTACATATTTGGCACTGGTTTTAAATATGCAAAGGCCTCTAACTTCGTTGTGATGGCAGCATGTATTTACTGTGTCCTCATTTCCCATGGTAATATGGCTAATGTGTTTATTTATTATTTGTGGGGCAATTTAAATGTGTTATTTATCTTTTTTTTCAAGATTTAAATGAAGCTCAGCGCAAGTTCTTTCAGGAAGACTGGGTGTATATACATTCACTCCGCAGCTGCATATAATCAGCTCATCACAGGCGTTCTCTTTAACCTATTACATTTCACAGTGTTACATTTAAAACAAAATTCAGAAATGTGAATCTGCGTCACAGATGTATCGCATAATCATCAACATGGCGCAGAGGAGGCTCATGATCGCATTTCCAAGAAAGTATCAGAAACTCGTTGCGTGAAGTAGTGGGTGAAGATCATGTCTGACGTCAATCAGACATGCATCACAGAATGGTAACATCCACCGTAGATTGAAACGTGTGGTACTCACACGAGAGATGATAATAAGGCCAAGATGGTCACATTCCGTGATTTCCATCTGCACATGTTATGATGATTATCGTTCATGCAGGAGTGAAGATGACCGTCGCTGTCCTTTCAAGACGAAGTGAGGGAGAGAGAGACTGATTCTGACACAGAGAGCGACTGGAGAGAAGTGAAGGAGGGGGTGTGGCTTGTGCATGCTGTGTTTGTGGATGGTAGAGCGACAGTGAGGGAACGTGTATGTTTCCCTGGAAGTGAAACGATTGGCAGCAGAAAACAGAGGTCTTTTGATGTATTTTGTTGAAACAGAAGAACAGCTAAGATATAAAATGCAACGCCTCCCAAGAAGAGCTCGTCGTTTTAAGCTAAGTTGGTTATTGAAACTTGAAGCTGTTGCTTCTGCCCTCCTCGACTACGGTCTGGGAGCCGACAGGAAAGTTCAACACCACAGTGGCCAGTCCGCCCCTTTGTAGCATATTATTTAAATGAGGAGATGAGCAGATCGCCACTGGGCTTTCAACTAAAACACAGCCACGCAAAACTGCGGCATTTGTTACAGCTCCTTATGGGTACTGCAATTAGTGAAGTGCTTTCCTCCGTTGGTGAAACGGATCAGCACTGCACCACAGAGAAAGCGGCAGAAAGTCACCTGGAGTTAAACGAGAGCGGGACTGCGTTACGTGCCATGGCTTCTTCTGCAGGTAAACGGGGAGACAGCGCTCTGGCGGACGGTCTCGTCAGGATCCGAAAATACAATTATAAATATTTTTGACACTTTATTTCCACTTATTCCTAGTGTGCCACTGGTTCACGGTGCCGCGTGCCAGCCAGGGGTTTGCCGACCCCTGATCTAGACTCCAGAAAAAACGCGGGCAAAAATCCTTGATTATGACGATTAAACATGCAGGGTTTTTTTATGTGGTTTTATGGCGGGGAAATTGCGGGAAGTTGCGGAAAGTGCGAAATATGCATAAATATGCCGGGAAAAAAAGAACAACAATTTTTTTAAATTATTGGGCTGTCTTATTTATTCTCTCTCACAACACAATCCTGCCACTAAACGTAAAACCCCTTTACTATTCAATTAAACCACATTCAATGTTTATTTATGTAAAAGCAATATGGGCTTTTTAATCTCACACCACACACACCCCCCCCCCACACACACACACCACACAACACCACTTCTCCGCCTCATTCGTTTTCATTTACTGTTTGTTATCTGGACCAGCTTCAATCTTGTAGTCTGCTACTCACTTCGTTTCTTGTAAGCCCTCGAAAGGGTTTTGGAGGTTGAAGCCTCGGTGGACGTTTGAGTTGTTTGGCTTTCTTGTCCGCAGCAGCAGAAAGCATTTTCGAATGTTTTGAATGAATCAAAGTGGGTCGTCCCGTCGATTTTCCTTATGCTCCAACAAACAGTTTGCACGGGTGAGAATATTTCCCCCCACTTTTTGCCCGGTCTTTAGTAGAAATGTTCGTCGGTAAATGAGATGGATTAGATTTTTTCATCTTGGTGTTTCTCTATCGTGTGGCTCCACACGTTCACTCTATACAGTGTTGTTCACATTTTGTGAATGCGCGAGTGATGACGTCACGTCAAGACGAGTTAACTTTTTTTTTTCTCAACTTTGTTGACCTTTTAATTAAATATGCGGCCTTTTAAAAATTCTGCGCCATCTTGCGATTATGCTGGTAAATTCTGCGATTTGCAGGAACGCGTTTTTCTGAGGGTCTTAATAAATCAGCTCATTCACAGGCGTTCTCTTTAACCTATTACATTTCCACCTCAATTCTCCACAGCCAATCAACGAGACTGCAGCCAAACTATAAATGGTTCTCCTCTCTCTTGCAGTCATGGTTGTGTTTAAGGTCTTCATGCACCTTTATTCATTATGCATGTGTCAATAAATGTTCCAAACTTAAATGAATTCTCTCCTGATTGAAACATCATGTGTTGAAATTAAACCAAACTGCAGTTCAAAATAAAAAGTGAATTGCCTAATATTTTTGTTGTGGAATCAATTAATTTCATTCTTTAAAGGGCAAAAACATGAAAAGCTAAGAAAAAAACTATTTGAATACAATATATTTGGAGCAACTTTAAATTTATAAATGGTTGTAACTCTAAAAAAACGTGTGTTCACAATTGATGGTAATTACATACATACAAGTTAAAATTCCTTTTTAAATCATACGGTAAAACAAGGTAGGAACAACTTCATTTTTGGAGTAATCAACTTAAAACTTGTATCCCCTGAATGAGTGGTAATAAGTATCATACAACAAACCTGATCATAGAGGTATAAACTAGTTGGAACAACTAACCGATAATCAACCAAAACGAGTTAGCTACCAAGTTAATTAAGTAAGTGTAATTAAAAATCCTCTAATTGTAGAGGAAAAGCCATCTCCCTAACTCAGAATAACGTGCAGAATCATAGAAGTTGTCTTAACTCAATAAACATCGATGCAAACTGTTGCGTTGATTTCTTTGTTGAGCAAGCATTTGTTTTAGAGTGTGTGTGGGTGTGTGTGATGGGCCATGTATCCCCACACACCCTGTAACAACAAGTGGTTAGCCTACAGGAAGTGCCTCTGGAAGTGTCAACAAATTAACATGACCGAAACACACACACACACACGCACGCACGCACGCCACGCACGCTACGCTACGCACGCACGCACACACACACCACACACATCACACACACCACCAGGCTTCACTGTATCTCGTGGCTCTGTATCATACGCTTAATATTAAAGTATCAGGCGAAGGGCAGGATTTGTGCCGCTAGAGAATGAGAGACACAGAAACGAAAGAAGGAAAGTGTTGATCTGTGTTTCCTGTGTTGTTTTTAACAAAATAATGCAATATTGGCTGGAGGGCAGAAAGAGGCCGAGGTGAGGGGAACAAATATAAAA